GTCCTGGTAACCCCTCTTCCGGAACAGTCTTCGGGGTGTGCAGCCCCATTTGTGAATGTCCTTATTGGTGACACATCTTCATTGTCCGCTTTTTGGGAATCAGTCAAAAAGTAATCCATAGTCAACAATGGTTATCTTGACTATTTTGTAAAATGACTATAAAGCCCATTTTTAAAGGAGAGTTTGCAGAAATGTTTTAATCGATAGAGGAACGTAGAAGCTAAGCGTATGTCCTCCTCAGGTGACATATGGTTTTGAAGGACAACCCTGATTTGTTCGCCCAGGATTGTTTAAGAGGCCAATCACAGATATATATCCTATATTGTGTTCTATATAATAAAATAATATCACAGCCCAAACCGGTTTGGCTCAGTGGATGGAGCGTCAGCCTACGGACTGAAAGGTCCCAGGTTTGATTCTGGTCAAGGGCATGTACCTTGGTTGTGGGCACATCCCCGGTGGGGGGTGTGTAAGAGGCAGCTGATCGATGATTCTCTCTCATTGATGTTTCCAACTTCTCTATCCCTCTCTCTTCCTCTCTGTAAAAAAATCAATATATATTAAAAAAAAACAAGAGAAAAAAATACCATAAATGCATTATGATGCTGAAGGCTGTATGCTAACCACTTCCTCCTCCTCCTGCTGCTGCCATTAGGAGCTAAGGCCTCTGACAATATATGATGCACTTGCTTTGGCCAAAGGAGGGAGGGTCTAGAGAGGCAGAGGGCAGACCCCTGTGAGGAATGGGCACAGTTATCCGGGGTGAAGGGTTGGGTCCCCATCTACATTTGAGAGTTGCTTGCTCTGTCTTCCTCTCTGGACCAGCTCTGCGTCTGGTCAGCGGAACAGTGTGCGCAGTCTTTTTTCCGGGGGAGAGCCATGTCTCATCCTGGCTCCCAGTCACTCACCTGCAGAAACCATCACGGAGGTCTAAGAGAGGGGATCTGCTGGTGCATGAATCGTGTTAAAATGTATTTCCCCCCCAGAAAAATCTGTGTGAGTGGGGGGGCGAGGTCAAAATGAATCTACACAGCAAATTTGCTTATAGCAATTACTAGTTAACCTAAACGAAGAACTCTTCAGTGGAAGTTTCTAGAAAGTTCCCTTTCCTAGGGAAGACCAGGAGGGAGGGGGAAGCATGGGGAGACGGGGTCAGTCTCAGGAACACTTGTCTGCCAGGGACAGTGGCTTCTCTGTCCATCTTGAAGACCCGGGTCTCTGGGCGTGGGGTGGATGTGTGAGGTGGAGGGTGGGGAGGCGGGTGTGACCGCCTGGGCTGGGGGGCAGAGGGAGGACAGAATGACCTCCAGGAGGCCTAGCCAGGCAGAACGCTCCTCCGCTCCATGCTCCTCCCACTGATAACCAAGCTGCAAATCAGGAATTTATTAGGAGCTGAGACTCATTTTCCCACCCTTTATGGCCCTGACGACTCTGAACCAAACTCTGGCAAGGGGCTTCCTCATGGTTTTAATTAGACAATTAATTTTTTATTGGGCCGTTTGATTTCTGGAGCCGATTTCACTCTCCCTCTCGTCCCCACCTGCCCCCCAGCTGTGAGCAGCCAAGGGGAGCCAGGGGGATCGGGAGGTGCAGCAGAGACAGCGCTGTCTGCCTTTGAGCTGCTCAGGCGTCAGGCAGCGGGAGGGAGGCGCTCTGCCCCCCTCAGCTGTGCTCGCAGCAGAGACACTGTCCAGAGCTCAGCGCAGGGCCTGCAGGACCTGCACAAAGGCTTCTCAGCTCCCCTCCCAGCTTCTCCCAGGCTGCCGGGCTAATTAGTAACGCGGCGTGGGCGTGGGGGCAGGGAACCCGGCTCAGATACATTAGCAGCAGCGTTTCTGCGGTTCATCCCACGGTGCTTGGAGGCTGTTTACCCTCTACCCGGGGATTAGGAACCTGTTTGAGTTAGAAGGGCACAGCGAGGCCAGGGCCGGGCTCTGTCCCCCACCTGCTTGTAGGAACAGGGGTGGGGGCGCTGAGCCAGCAGGGGAAAAAAAGGAGTCTAAGAAACCTGTCTCCAATCTATCTCCCTTATTGATCTCCCTGCCGCCCAGCTGCTGGCCTGCTTTTGAATCTTGATCCTCTCTGCTCCTGCTTCATCCCTGGGCATGGCCCTTGTTGTCAAATACCAATCTGGCTCAGAAAGCGGGGGAGGGAGGGAGGGAGGATGGGGGTGCAGTGTTTAGCAGAGGGGATGGCCCCGCATGGAGGGGTCCCATATTTCAGATGTGTTCCCTTGGAGGAGGAGGGGGGAGCCCCTTTCCAAGATGCCGGCCATCCCCTTACTCTCCCCAGGAAGGAAGGGAAGGTGAGACTGCAGGGAGAACTACTTCCAGCAGCAGAAGCAAGCAGATCCTTCATTAGAGCTTTACGATATGACCAGCGTTTTATTGAGAGCAACGCTGCTCCGAGGCCTTGGGATTGCAGGGAGAGAGAGGACTGTTTCCTCAGGTGTCCTGTTGGTGGGGACATTGTCACTTGCTGTTGTAGCACAAGGATTCCTGAAAGTGCACACACACACACACACACACACAGCGACACAGCTGCTCAGAACCAGACTGCCAGCACCGCAGACACAGAGTGGGCTCTGAGCAGCCTCCGGGCACGGGGTTCTGGGGCCCTCGGAGGCTGAACAAGCCCCCACAGGCATGTGCCAGGTGACCATTCGAAGAGGCAGACTCTGATGACCCCCCACTGCCCACTTCCTCCTCTTGTGTCAGCGCACCCCCAGTGTTGGTGGATGTTGGGCCCTCCCGCCCACCCGCACTGGGTCTGAGAGCATAAGCTTCCTTGGGCCAAAGGCTGAAGGAAACAGCGGCACAGGCTTACGTGTAGTGTGAGGGGCACAAAAGAGACAGGACCCAGAAGCTCATGTGCAGACTTTGGAACCGAGGATTTGTGCTCTAACCAGATTTTCTTCTGTTTTTCCTTGGAAAACTCACATGGAGTGATCCCTCCGCTAGGGCTCAAGGTGGTTCCAGCCCCAGGACGGGCCTTCTTGGTACACAGTCCTGCCCCCTGCTGAAGGAAGCCTCTGGCAGCCTGTCCACCACCTCCCAAATATGGTATTCAGCCCCAGGGTGTGGCTTAGTCCCAGGAACCAGGAAGTCGCTGGTTCGATACCCGGGGAGGGCGCATGCTGGGTTGTGGGCTGTGCAAGAGGCAACCAAACCGACTGAGGATATTCCTCTCTCATTGACATTTCTATCTCTCCATCCCTCTCCCTTCCTCTCTCTCTAAAAATCAATAAAACATATTTTTAAAAAGAAGAATGGTATTCAGAAATTCACAGAAGAAAGGAACAGAATGGTTGAATATATTGGGGGCGGGGGTGGGGGGCGGGGGTGGGTAGAGGCAGAACAAACCCAAGATTACCCATTGACATTTGTGCTTTCATGTGGCTTAAGGTGGGGACTTCAGACCTTTGGTACCCGGATCCCCAGGTGAAGGGCTGCAGTGTGTGTGTGTGTGTGTGTGTGTGTGTGTGTGTGTGATTCAGTACAGGGACCCGTGGGACAGTGGGAACAAAGGGGCTAGGAGCCCAGGCAAACCTCCATCAGAGTGGTCATGGGGGGCGGTCAGCATCCATCTGTAGGGCCGGGGGAGAGAAGAAATGGTAAAAATAGGAGAGAGAGAAGAAATAAAACGGAAGGCACTGAGACAGAGGAGAGAGCAAGCTACCGATCCACACAAAGAGGCTGAGAAACACGTGTGAGCTTGGGAGCGGGTGGCGGGCAGCAGGAGGCGGGGAAGGGAGATCCTGGTAAGGGGGGGGGGGTCAGCAGCCGGAACAATCGGCCAGGCTTCTGCTGGGGGAGGTGGGCAGAAAGGCGGGGAGGGGCAGGGGCTGCAGAGAGAGCCCCCGCCTGTGAGCAGAGAAGGCGGTGGCCATGGAACCGCCCCTCCCAGCTCCGGGGCTGACAGCACCCCCTGCCCTCTCCCCGAGCCCAGGGCTGAGATTGACGGGCCTGCAGCTTCTCTGGGTCCTGGGTGGATTTGAATAATTAAGTCATCTGGATTCTTATGATTTACCATTTTCAATGATAAATAGACAGCGCCCAAGCCAGCCAGTTGGCAAAACTCTGGCTGCTAGTTATAATTTGTCAAGCTGCCAGCAGATTCATGTTTTATGCTAATGGAGAGAGACTCATTGACTAGGGGGAGGCAGTGACCGGGTCAGCTCTTTCCTCAGGCACCCCAGAGGTCGAGAGGTCAGGGGAGAAAGGCTGAGGCCAGTATGGATTTTCTGTAAGGGTCAGTGTAATTTTATAATAATTCAGCTGGTACACACGCTTTTTGCATACATGGAAGGTCATGTATGCGGACATATGCTCGGATCTGCGTGCACCCACCCTCACCCGCTTAACACACACATGCACCTGCTCCTGTGCGGGCGTCTGGGCCCACTGCACACAGTCTGGGCAGGAACACTCGTCCACCCTCTTCGGCTCACTTGCACAGGCACAACCTTGCTGTCACCTTCAGGCATGTGATTATAGCAAGGAAAACACACAGCCTGCTCAGAATCCCAGAGCACCTCCCCTATCGCGCCTCACACACACACACACACACACACACACACACACACACACAACGCACACCTCCAAGATGGGAAGCATCACTGGAGGACCCCTGGGCCCACCACCCCACCACCCCAGTCCCTTTATTTCAGGGCTTCCCGGTCTGCTGATCCCAGTGTGTGTCTTCGGCTCTAGTGGGGGAAACAGCCGAGCCCCAGGACAGTCCTGGTTTTCGGGCGACGGGTCTGGGGCGCTGAGCTGGGAGGACAGGGGCTCTGAGAATGGCACACGGAAGGCTGCAATCAACATCAGCGGAATCCAAACTTTCTTTCCCATCGATCGGTTTATTTATGTATTTGTCCACACTCACCGAAGCCTCACCCTGGCCGGCATCTTGTTTGACAGCCGTGACAGACGGAGGCAGAGGCCGTGCTTTGCACATACTACGCGATGAATGAATATCGGTGGCACGAACAGCGGAGCAGGCTGCTCGTTCCCCTTCCAGGCCTCCGTCTCCCCAAACCGTTATCATCGCTGGTGGGAGAGGCCAGGGAGGAGGTGCAGTTCTGGGTGAGGACCGCCTATTCCTTGATGCGAAAGTCTGGGTCTTTGGTGTGATTTAAAAAAATGCTAATTTTATACCAGTTGAAGCAATCTGGGCTCAATTTTGACCCCTAAATGCCCTCAAAATGAGTCAGTGAGCAAGAGAGGCCTAAGGAAGGAGCCTCGGCTTCTCCTCCGTGCCCAGAGGAGAATCTGAATTTGCTGTTGAGCAGGGCTGGAAGCTGCAGGTGCTTCCCATCAGCTGCTTGGAGTTTCTTTTTCTTTTTCTTTTTTGGTAGGGGCCTCTGGGGAAGAATTAGGGACATGGAGAAAAACATTTCATTTCCCTGTTTCCCCAACCCCACCCCAAGCGAGGGGAAAAAAGCACAACAGCACACTGAACGGAGAAGAGGCCCAGGCTCCACGGAGAGCCCCAAGGCAGAACCGCTTCTGGTGCCAGGCTCCCAGAGGCAGCCGCCCTGCAGGCTCTGCGCAGACATCCAGGGCCTTAGAGGTGAACGGGGCTCCTCCTTCCCAGCCGGGCCAGGCAGGGCAGACTCTGCATCTGCTCCGCCAAGGCCCGGAGCGAGCGGCTCCCTTCTCTGCTCCCTTCTGAGCAGATGTGGATGGCGATGGGCCTGGCTAGTCAGAGCTGGAGAGACGGCCAAGAGCCAGAATCAACCAGCCTCACCATCCAAGAGCAAGAGGACCCCTGCATGCATGGGGAATAGGCCTTACTTATTCAATGCACTCTGATCTCTGAACGCATAATAATCCGGCCACTCAGTGTATATCCTACATAATAAAAGGTTAATATGCAAATTGTCCCCTCGACCAGGAGTTCGACCAGCAGGCAGGCTGGCCAACTGCCCATGTCCCCTCCCTCTGGCCAGGCTGGCCGGACCCCATCCATGCACAAATTCATGCACCAGGCTTCCAATATACATATACATATACATACATATATATATATATACATATACATACATATATATATACACACACACACACACACACACACATACATATACATACATACACACACACACACACACACACACACACATATTGAGTGGTTCAGATATCAAAACAATCTGCCACTCAGTGTAGTTTAAGGCACTGACCTGGCATCGCTGACCTCCCCTCCCCGCACCAAGGTGAGCTCCTCCAGACCCTCACTCACCCTGTGAGAGCAACGGCCTTGGGCACCAGCAACTCCACCCGCAGGGGCTGCGGCAGGCCTGCAGAGGGCTGGAGGGGAGGAAGGATTTTCTGGAATGATACAGGGATATGATGGCAATAATCATGACTGATACAGAAAACAAGTTGGTTCATCCCACACCCAATCGCAAGCTTACTCCACATCGTTTTGCCCTTTTCTTTCAATCCCAGTATTTGCATCCACATAATGAACTCTGAAGGGCTCGTGTTAGCTTGCCTAAAAGTCTCAGAACAAAGCCTCTGGAATACAAAGATAGTACAAGAACCCGTCTTGATTAGATGGAGAGAAAAAGGTAGGGAGTATGGGAGAGAGAGAGAGGGAGGGAGGAAGGGAGGAAGGAAAGAAAGAAGCTCAGAAGAGGGGAGGAAAGCTGGAAGAGCAGTAAGAGCAATGCTGGGACGTGTGGGACTGAGGCCCCCGAAGGGGGAACTGCCAGGTATTCTGTGGACGTGGCTTTCCAGCCGGTGTGAGGGCCCGTTAGCCCATCCTCAAGGCCTGCACTGTCCTGGAAGACCTAGCTGAGCTCAGGGACTGCCCCATCCCATTTTGGAAAAACAAAGGGGTAATCTAATTGGCTCTAACGGGGCAGTCCCCCCCCCCCCCCACACACACTTGAACTGGGTGTGGGGTGTAGGCCCAATGTGCTGCAGACACACAGCCGCCCCAAGCTGAGCTCCTCCACAAGCTGAATCCACAGCCACTTGGCCAATAAATCTCTTTATGTGTGTGAGTTCAGTGCAATACATTGCACATCTAACGTCCACTGGCCCTGGCAGGAAATGCCCTCATTCTCTTTCAAGAGTGAGGTTCTCTGGCTCCTCCAGCACTTGTAAAACTCATGCCAAGCTCTTTACAGATTAATCCAACCCCTTCTGGCGAGGAGAAACCCCCTGGTCTGGAAGGCAGTTCTCGGAGGCAGGGAGGGAGATAAGGATGGCAAAGGAGGAACGTGTTTCTTCTCACAAGGAAGAAAACGAAGGTGCCTTTCCCGGGGCGACCAGGCCTTTGTCCGCCCCTCTCACCTGCAGAGACACAGGCAGACTCGCCGAGGTTCCGGGAGGACCTTCGGAGCAGAAAGCTCATTCAACACGTGGCCAAAGGAGGCCCGAGTTCTCGGATCAGAGCCTTCCCAAGGAACAAAGCAGCCCAGTCTGAGGCAGCCTCGGCCAGCAAGGTCAGCGTGGAGGCGAGGGCAGCGGGAGCGGGTCTAGGAGAGGGGCCCACGCCTGCCTCTCTCTCAACTGCCTCCTCTGCGTCCTGTGCTGATTTTGGAACTAGACCTTGATCTGCTGAGCCTCCCAGCTAGCCCACTGAGGCAGGAGGAGCCAGGCCAGCTGCTACTCTGGAGAAGCTGGTGGCAGGAGGCCTGGGTGGGCCCTGGCGCCGGGGTAACGGTGGTGGTAGGTCAGGGCAAAGCTGCCTGGGGCACCACACAGTGGGGCGATCTGGTCCCTACCTTACTCCCCCCCCCCTCCCCGCCTCTCCCTGCCCACTCTTCACCGTGTGCCTTCCCTGCCTCTGCTTCTCCCGAGTGGCTTCCCCTTAATGTTAATTCGGGTTTGTTTTCTCTCTCCTTTTCTTGCTTCCCCGTTATCTCTCTGTGTCTTTATGTTATGTTTCCTTCCTTCTTTTGCATTCTTTCGGCTGTACCTTCCCCTTTTCCCTCTCTATGTTCTTCCCTTCCTCTCACCCTTTCTCCTATTGTTCCTCCTTTCTTTCCTATCTCATTCTCCCTCCATTTCTTTTTTATTTTACTTTTTTATTTCTTTTCCTTCCCCTTTCTTTCACTTTCTAGCTCCCTTCTTTTATTAATTTGTTCGTTCTCCCCTTCTCTTTGTGTCCTTTCTGCTTTTGTTCATCATAAAACTAACTAGTCCTGCTTGTTCATTCTGTCCTTTGTCAATGTTCCTGCCTCGCTCTCCCCCGGCTGCCCTCCCGGAGACCCCGGCTCTGCCCAAGCGTTAGGCTTTCTCACATGGTTTCTTCCCTCGCCCGTCTTTCTCTCTTTGTTGTTCCCAAATTTTCCAGTCCTTTGTGCTGTTTCCCCGACCTTCTTTCTATCTTCCTTTGTTTCTAAATCAGGCATATGGCTCAAAACAGCCCCCTCCCCAAGTCTCAGCCCAGCCGTCCTTCATGCCACCCCTTCTCATCTTCCCTCAACTCGGGGTTCAGTCCCAAAGGCTCAGCAATGGCGCTGTCCCCCTGGGTGAGAGGTCAGGCTGGGTCCACAGCTCCCCACTACAGGCTCAGGAGCCTTGCCAAATTGCCACACTGCCAATCTAATTTAAAAGAGAAGGAAGGAGGGCACGGGTTCGGAGGGATGGCAGGCCTAGTCTCCCTGGCTCTCTCATATGCCCCGTGCCAGAGCAAACTGCGGCTCTGCCCGTAGGCTGCAGGCACTGAAGCAGGTTACACAGGGGGAAAGCAGAAAAAATAATAAAATAAAATAAAAGAGAAGAAAGGAAAGGGTAAAAGAGAGAGAATCCTATTGGTTGTGGGGTGAGGGGTAGAGGCAGTGTTGGGGAGGCAAAAAGTATTGGCTTCACCAAAGAGGGACGGGGCAAATCCCAGGGCCCAGCCAGCCGAAGAGGCCTCAGGCGCTCCGGGAATTTGGGGGTGGGGTGGGTGAGTCTCCCAGCAGCTCCTCTGAGTGGAGGGTGCTTAGGGAGCAAGGCGGGCAGGAAAGGAAGGGCTTAGGTTAGTTCTATCTGTCGCCTTGGCCTTCCCCTGGACATGTCCCTCTCCAGGCCCAGGGTTTAGGAGACCCCACTTTAGGCTGGGCTGTGGCCTCCTGCACCCCTCCGCTAGGCAGGCCCCATCCCGGGGCGCCTGTAGGAGCAGGTTGGGGGCAGCACTGGGTCACCTCAGAAAAACACCGGGTGCGGCGAAAACAAAGGCCTTGCGGGTTGGCAGCTTTGCAGCTCCTGACAGAGCAGGGACCAGCGGCCTCTGGAATTGGAGGTGCAGAGACATCACGGTGTGGGCGTGGGAATTGTCTCCCCTGGGACCCACAGCCTCTCCCAGGCCTTTCCAAAAAGCGCCCCAAATGCGCGGCTGCCCAGCCAGCCAGCCGGGTCCCAGGGCGCGGGCTCAGAGCTCCCCGGCCTCCTGCACCTGCCGCGCCCCCCGCCCCCGTCCCCGCCACCACCGGCTGGCCTGCACCCCCGCCGCCTGCCAACGCCTTCACTCCAGGCCGCCCCCCATTTCAGCGGTGCCCTCTGAACACCCCCTCTGCCCTTGACCCCTTTTGCAGAGCCCCTCCACCTCCCCCCGGGTAGTTTTTCGGGGTGCTCCCTCTGGGCCCTGGGGCGGCAGGGCTCCCCCTGTCCTCCTGTGAGCTGGAGGGCGTGGGGCGGTTATGCTGGGGGCGGGGGCGCTCCCCTGACTCCACCTTAAGGAGATGTTTGGGAGCTGTCCCCTCTCTGCGTCCCCTTTAGTTTTAAACCACAGGGAGCTCCAGGGCGACAGGGGCCTGGGCGGGGGCTCCGGGCCGGTACCCGCCCCCCAGCCGGGCAGAGTGGGCAACTGCGTCCTAAGCCGCCCCTTCTCCCTCCCGGCGAGGCCGCCCCGAGATCTCTAAGCGCCTCCAAGGGCAGCTGGGGTGCGCAGGTTCGGACGGGACGCCCGGGGTTCCTGCACCGGGAGCCAGCCCTGATGGGGAGCCAGCAAACGCACCCCTCCTTCCGCGGAGGCAGCAGGCCGCCCCCTCCACTTTAATCCGCAAACCCCCGCCTCTGCCCCGATCTGCGCACCCCTTCCAAAAACTTTTCTGAAGTTCCCGCAAGTTGCGTTTGGCGACGGAAGTGATCCCTCTCAGACTCTCGGGGTCTCTAGGCCCCCGATTCCTCTCGCACGCCCGTTGCAGAAGCTGCCAGCCGCCACCGGCGTCCTCAGACCCGGAGGAGCGATGCCCCGGCCCCATGCGCGGGACAGATGCCCAGCCGGGCGCGTCCCTCCGAGGCGGGCGGGGAAGCGTCTGTCCGCGGGGCATCTAACGGGATGGAGTGGGGAGGGGGGTGTGTGGAGAGAGACGCGAGGAGGGACATTGTTTTCAGGCTCAAAACGCAGTCCTCCTGGGCCCAACTCACCTGCTCGGGACCGGCTCCTCTTGCTTTTTGTCCGCCCAAAAGTTTGCGCCCTCAATCGGCCCGGGAGGGGCGCCAGCGCGGCCGTCGGGGTGAGGAGGGTGCAGGCGCCCCGAGGGCGCAGGAGTGGGGCGCACCTTCCCCAAAGTGGAGGCTGGAGCAGCGACCCGGACAGGGAACATGGAGCGTCCAGGGCGAGGGGTCAGGCTGTGAGCCCCGGGGCTGCCCGGGGCCGAGTGGGCCCTCGGAGGGCGTGTTCGGCGGGGCTGGCGGCCGGGGGGCTGGGAGGAGAGGGCCGGGGCGCTGGGTGACGTTTTCTGCTCCCTCCAGTGCGTGTCATCGCGGGTGCGTCCCAGCCCACAACATCCCCTCGGCCCCTGCCGGCGGGCACTCAGGGCTGGGACAAGGCGGGGAGGGGGGCGAAGAGACCCCCCCAGCCCCTCCCCAGCCCCCGCGCTACCACTGCCCCCACCCCTTCTCTGTTCCGAGCCAAGGGACAGACAGAGAATTGCAACTAGAAATCCGATCGATTGGTACGAGGGACCACGTGGTCCGAGGCTGGCCAATGACCAGGCCGCCCGGGATGAGCTAATAATGGAAGCAATTTGTAACTTTCAGTAGCTCTACCGGCCCGGGTACCGGAGGGAGGCGGGCGGAGGTGGGGAGAAGGGTACCCCGAGTCCTTCCACTCTCCTCCTTCGTCCAGGGACACCCAGGTCCCCTGTTCCTCCTTCCCCCCGGCACGCAGGCCACTTCTGTCCGGCGGCGGCTCCAGAGCGAGGTAAGCGGGTCCCTCACCCTCAGACACTCCTCCCCGCCTTTCTGGCACCTGCAAGCAAAGTCCCCTTCCCACCCCACTGGACAATCTAAATCTGATTTTGTTTTTCTCTCGGTTGAAACACACAATTCTTTTGTATTTTCCCCCCCTGTATCATCTATTTCAGATTTGGGGAAATATTAAATTTAGATTAATATACTTTTTTTGGGGGGGTGGGATGAGTGTACTTTTTGGGGAAGTTTTATATTTTCTTCTTTTGGAGAGGAGCATTCTACTTACGGGAAGTTTACTTTTCTTTGGGGATGAGTTGCACCTTGTGTTTTTGCGAGCTTCATTTCGCTAGTGATGTCAAGTTCATGCCTTCCTCCAACCCGTCTTCCAATTTCAATATTTACAATCACTTAACAGATTTCAAGTTTATTCATTTGTTTTTCTCCTCCCTCACTAGTTTCTCAGCTGTTTCCGAATCTCCTCGATTTCTTTTCCCTGTGGGTGGCCCAAGAGTTAGTTTTGTGTTGATTTCTCCTTTTGTTTTGTAAACGAATTTATTGTTTGGGAAACTCTATGGGGGTGTGAACAAGGTCTCTTTTGATGAATTCCAGTGCCTCCTCTTTGGAAGAACAATTTGCTTGAAGTGTTTTATATATTGTCCTCATCTTTGTTTATTGTGTCTCAATGTAGTTGTGCTCTGGTTTACCTCCTTTTAAAATCTGATCGTCAAACCATTCTAGAAGTTTTCATTTTATAACTTCACTATTTTGTGTATTTCCTTCCCTAACCCCCTTTGCACTGTGTCCTCCTCCATCTCAAGACCCCTGCTGTCAACTTCCACAATTCCCAGCTTCAGATCTGACTCACTCTCCCAGCCGATGAGGGACGACTGGGAAGAAAAAAATTGTTCTATTTGTGTCGAAACTCAGGGCTCTGGTCCTGGGCACCTCTAGTCTGACCCACCAAGCCAGCAGAATCAGGGAGAGCAGAATTTTTGTTCTCTTTCTAAGCTCTTTCTCCTAGGCTCTATTCTGGCAACTCTTGGTACATAAAGTTAAATTATTAATCCCCATCTTTCCCCTTCATTTTAAGGAAAGCACAAGCAGATATCTTTTCTCCCCTAAATATAAGCTATTAGCTCGGGGTCAGCCTATTGGGGCTTTCCCTCCTGGAAAAGGATTCCAAGAAGAGACACACAATGTTTAGCCGCAGCACCCCCCACCTTTTTTTTTTTTTTTTTTTTTTTTACTTGTGACTGAGGTGGAGGTGGCAGGGACTGGGAAACCCCATTTTGATCTCTGGCTCTGGCTTTGAATGGACACAAAGAAGGAGAAAGAGCTGATCCCTTCTGGTCAGTGAGTTCTGGCTTGAGAGAGTTTGGGGTCCACCCCAGCTCGGAGGACATTCTCTTTAGTGAAATAAACCATGGAATGGTTTCAGCCTCTTCAGAGTCATTGCAGGCACAAAAATCAAATGACGAGAGTAATCCTTTCCCCGAAGAAGACCTGTCTCTGGTGACTTTGTTCATTCCCCTGAGGGCACAGAACCCCACTGGGCAGAAGTAAGACTGCCCCTGTTCCTCCCGCCGCTGCTCCGGGCTCCAGCGGGCGCCTCATTGGCATTCCAGGCACACCCCGCCCAGCCCCCGTCCCAGCTTCTCCCAAGTATGAATCTAAATTACTATTAATAAGGGGCCGCTCCAAGTTAATTGGCATTAAAAGAATTCATTTCAATTTGTTAATATTAAATGAGTGCTCTGCACTTTAGCTCCCTTCTTGGCTCTGGCGTCCCGGATGAGTGATGGGAAGTGAAGGTGGGGGAGTCGAATGAGGATTTTATTTCTGACTCTCCAGCTCAGCCACAGCCCAGGGTGGGAGATCAAGGCGCAGTGGGGGACTCTGATGATCTCTCTGGTGAAATTCATCTGAATCAGCTGGCGCTGGGGGGTGGGGGGGGCAGAGGGAGAGGGACCAAAAGGTAGGGGAGACATTGTGGGGGAGGGGAGGGACTGGAGGAAAGGGACAGAAGTGGACTGGCGTACTTGGAGGAGGATTGTGAGCTGTGGGGGTAGAGCAGATTTGTAAAGGAAGCTGCTGGTAGTTGAAAAACCCGCCTAGAGAAGGAGGAGCTGGGGGTGTGGGCGGGGTTGTGAGGCGAGGCAGCGAGGGGTTCTGAAGCTGTAGAGCTGTGTGATGATATTAGGCAAGTTGCTTAGCTTTTCTCTCTGCCTTAAGCTTCTTGATCTGCAAAACTGGGATGATGATAATAGTATCTATCTCAGGGGGACATTTGGGATTAGGTGAAATACATGTAAATATGTTTGGCACATAGAAACCACCAGTAAATGTTACCTCTTGCCCTGGCCTGTTTGGCTCAGTGGATAGAGCATCGGCCAAAGGCTGAAGGGTCCCAGGTTGGATTCTGGTCAGGGCATATGCTGGGTTTCGGGTTCAGTGGGGGGCGTGCAGGAGGCAGCCCATCAATGATTCTCTCTCATCATTGATGTTTCTATCTCTCTCTCCCTCTCTCTTCATCTTTGAAATCAATATAAATATATTAAAAAATAAAAATAAATAAATGTTACCTCTTATTATAGCGCAGTGGTTAGAAGCATGGATTCTGGAGCCGGATTTTGACTCTCAGTCCTGCCTGCATGACCTTGGGTTTTGGGCAAGTTACTCAGCCTCTTCATAGTTTTTTAGTTTCCTGCCTGGGAAATGGAGTTAATAGCTCAGAGGCCGTTGTGAGGATTAAATGAGTTCATGCATGTGAAGTGCCTACAACAATGCCAGTCATGGAGAAAACCCTATATAATCATTAGTTGTTATTTTTAAAAATAATTTTTATATTTCAATTATAGTTCCCCACTGATGTTGCTTTTCTGGTCTGAGAAGGTTGGAGATAGGAGCATGGAACCTCTTAGAGGTTGAGAGCTCAGTGGATTCTCTGAGACTTTGATCAGATCCATCCTGTCACCCCATCCCTGAATCTGGTCTAACAACTGGGTGCCTGTGGTGAGGGCGGGGAGCGTGAGACCGCTGGGCGCTGGGCGCTGGGATGCCCTGGGAGTGAGATCCCCTGGCCTCTGTTCTGGTTCTCGGGTTGGTGATCCTGTGCCAGGACCCACAGCCTTCAGGGAGGTCTCTGATGGGGGCACTGCTCTCCTGGTCTAATAGCTCCTTTGGCAGAATCACCTTCTCAGTGCGGGTTGGGGGAGGTTGGGCAGAGACTGACATTTACTAAACACCGGCTCTTAGTGTGGGCCAGCCCCCACATGTGACCTCACTTGAGAGGGTGAAGAAAACAGAGGGCTAAGTAGGTGAAGTGACTTGCCAAAGACATAAAGCTAAGAAAGTGGCAGAGTTGGGATTTGAACTCTGATTTGCCTGATGACAAGGCTTAACTTCCTTCCATTGCCATACACTTTCTGAAGGGGTCGGCGAGACCCATGTAAATTTGGGACCAGAATGAGGCCAGGACCACAGGGAAATTGGCAGATGGTGGGGGCTAGGGGGGAGAGGGGGAGTAGGGGTGGGAAGAGACCAAGTGGGAATATTTCAGTTACAGAAACTTCCCGGAGGAGGAAAGTGTAGATCAGGGTTCAGATGTGAAAGGAATGAGGATACCAGTAAAGAAGAGGGAGGGAGCCCTAGCTGGTTTGGCTCAGTGGATAGAGCATCGGCCTGTGGACTGAAGAGTCCTGGGTTCAATTCTGGTCAGGAGTACATACCCAGTGGAGGGTGTGCAGGAAGTAGTTGATCAATGATTCTCTCTCATCATTGATGTTTCTATCTCTCCCTCTTCCTTCCTCTCTGAAATCAATAAAAAAAATATATATATATATATAAAAGAAGAGGGGCGGGAGGAGTGGTGCATTGGCAAGGAAGGGGAGGAGGAAAGGTCTGTTCAGAGGCTGAGTGGGTGAAGCCAAGGGAAATGCATCTGATTTGCCTGGCGTCTGCCTTGGTGGCACCAAGTAAAATCCGTTACCATGTACTGAGCCTCCTCTGTTCCAGCTATGTTCATTATCCCACTTAATTCTCAAGGCCACTCTGACGAGAGCATTTCTACTCAAATGTCCAAAAGTGTCACTTGAGGCCCAGAGACCTTAGTCCCCACTTCAGGCCACACACTTGGTGGCGGGGATTGCCTGGCACAGAGAGCCATGGCTGGGCTGCCTGCAGAGCATACTTATCTTGCCTTCCATTCTAGTTCAGCTCACCCTGCCTCCCCACATCAGTCACACCTCATGGTGGGAACAGGGGTTAGAGAGAGGGATGAGACCGAGCGGATGGCCAGCAGGCAGTGGAACAGAAACCCTGCTCACGTCCTAGTGAGGAAAACAGCATTCTCTGTGGAGTGAGGCCTCCCCTGGCTTCCCCAGGGTGGATGGTGGACATCATTGGGGATCCCATTGTTTTCTGGGCTGAGGACTCCGGGGAGGGGAGGGAAAGAGGGCAGCTCAGGTGTGGGTTTGTGCCCTGGCTTAAGACCGCCAGTTGTCCACTAAAGTCCCGTCTCTCCTTGTTCCTCCCAGCGGGACACTCCAGTTCCCAGCTCCCCTGCAGGAGGGTGTGGCCAGAGCGGAGTGTGAGCCGAGTAATATCAGAGCCTTAAGACGGTGGGTAAGTTCTCCTTTTTCTGAGCTGGACCAGATGCACCTGAGCCTGAGCTTTGACTGCAGTTGAGGAGAAATCCCCACGAGGGGGCAAAGCCACAATCTGATTGGAACCCAAGTTCCTGACTGACCAGGTGGAGCAGAGCTGCCTGCCATCCAGGACTGCTCCCTTCCAGACTGTTCCGCGAGAAATAAACTTGTTTTCTAGATGTGACCGTGTTCTGGACCCTTTTTGTTATAGCAGTGTTGCCATCATCCTTTCTGTTATACTTTCCACACAGATTGTCCGTTCACACCCACCAGCTGGATTACATCAGGTCATGGAATAATGATTGTAACGTTTATTGGGTCCCAGAGATTACACACATTATTTAATATTATTATCCTCATGACAGTCTTCTGAGATAGGCATCACTATTATTTCAATATACAGCTGAGAAAACTGAGGCCCCAAAGAGGTAAGGGATGTGTCAATGGACACATAGTAGGTGGTAGATCTGGGATGCCCACCCACAGAGTGTGCGGAGCTTAAACCCTTCACCCTGGGGCAAATCACTCCTTGAGGACAGAGATGTAAAGGAGCCTGGAGATCATGCTAAGCTTGGCCACGCCACTGTATCGTCACCACAGGGCCTGGGCACCTCCCACCCTCATTTCAACCCAAGAAGCTTGGCAGACTCCAGTTAGGTGTTGGGTTGCTACGCAAGTTTTATTTGAGGAGAGGATCACACACTAGAACCAGTTTGAAATCCCCTGATAATGTCAACTCTCCCCCCAATTTTTTTTTTATTCTAATGAAGCTAAGAGAGAGGAAGTGACTTTTTAAAAAAATGCTCCCTTGAGGATATGTTTTTATTGATTTGAGGAGGGAGGGGAGAAACATTGATGTGAGGCGTAAACTGGTTACTTCCTATATGCGCTCAACCAGAGATGGCACCTGAAACCTAGGTAGATGCCCTGACTGGGAATCAAAGCCACAACCTTTTGGTGTAAGGACAACGCTCCAATCCACTGAGCCACCCGGCCAGGGCTGAGGAAGTGACCTCTTAAGGCCACACACTTAGTTTTACTGAATCCAAGACAAGCTCTCTTCCCACCACACCAGCGGCCTGACCAATCCACAAGAACAAAAATAACCCACACCAGGCAAGGGGGCCTGTATCTCCTACAACCGGCCGTGCTTTGGGATAGCCAAGTCACGGCTCCCTCATTTTCCCCGTGTCCCTCCAGCCTCCGAGAGCCGCCTCTCTGGGCCCGGGAAACGAATGGGCGGCACCTTCCCCAGCCGCCACCGCCTCTGGATGGTCAAACACGCAAAGCAAAGCCAGAGCCAGAGCCAAGGCTGGCCCGGATCCCTCTGACTCCCTCTCGTCTCCCACATCTCCCTCCTCCCTTCCTAGTAGCCCACCAGGGAGAAGGGGGAACAGTATCATAAATTTCCCCTATTTATACAAGAAGACAGAATGTTTCTTGTGCCAGAAAAAACACAGAGAGGGAGCTGTCAGGGGAGAAGGGACCCAGCTCCACACCGCCTGGGGACCATTCATCTTCCCCAGCCGTGCCCTCGGGGCTGCCATAACACTGCCTGTGTGACCCGCAGGCTCTGGCTTGGGGGGCAGCCAGGACCCGCAGTGTCTGGGCTTTGTTTCTGATGGCCACCTTCCTGCTCCGTCTC